AATATTTTCTAACGGAAATACAATTGATTATGAGGGAAATCAAGTTTTTCATACTTTCTCAAAACCTGAAAAACTGAGTTTTGGTGGTCGCTCACTTCTTTTAGTGACCAGTTCAATTATAACTCTAGCTTCAATTTTTTTTTTTTTTTTTTTGGGGGGGGGGGGCAGTGCTTGTGGTGCGTCTGTTAAAAACGCCCTTGCAAATTGTTGTTGCGGCGCAATTTTTAAGATTTTTCCTTTTGAAATTGTTTTTCTTTAAACACGTATTGTTCCTGTATTGAAATCAAATCGTAGGTATATGATAAAGGATCATTCCCAATAACGTCAGGACATCTACCCACATATTGCACTTGTACCCAAGAGAAAAGATTTCGAGGTTTGGTGTCCACGACCCTTTTAATGACTTAAGACTTCAAGAAATTTTGCATACATCTGAATTACAGAGGACAGTTGTGTGAAATATTACCTATATTCTCCTAAAATGAGATTCCATAAGTAAAATGCATGTTTATTATATTCTCATTATGCAAAATTAACATCACGAGCAAATTTTTTGCAAAAATATTCACTTTTCTAAATTAATTTTTTCAAGTTTCCGCATAATTGAATCCACTGGTTTTATTTTCGCGTGTGTTAGAGTGTGAAAAAGATGGAGATCAGGCAGATTATAGCACTAAAAAATGTAATAGATATTAACACTCACTAAAATCGGATATGTTGAGACATTTGAAATAATTCACAATTTTAAAGTGAAATTTTCTGGGAGTGAAGAAGTATTCAGTCAGTGAAGGATGGAGGAGCATGCATTGAAAATTTGTTGTGCGACATATCGACGGTAAAACCATCATACCACGCATCTCGTTTGCGGTGTTTAAAAGTCTCTCCTCCCATTTTATTTTTGTAAAGGAAAATAAACCAATATCATTCATTGAAGTTTTTACAGCTTTTTCGTCACTCAAAGAAGAAAAACCACGGAAGTTTTCAAGACTTGACGTTGAGTTGTTTTCCATCTAAAAAATGAAGTATGACAGGAAGTTTAGGACGGCGGAAACCGAGATACGTGGTCTGGCAGTTTCACCGTCGATATGTGATATGCAACCGTTTAAAACTGGCTCCGGAGTGTTGAATGTGAGGGAAACCCCTCGAGATGGTTTTATCGAGAGAAGTGTGAAATATGTTTTGATAACCAAATTGATTTGCCGCGAGCTAACCGAGCAAAACATTCTTTTTGATAGATCTAATTCACTAGTGGTGGCAATAAAGTTGCGAAAATCAAGCTATATATTTTGAGAAATTACTCAGGATACATCAATAGAGAATTGGCAGATGTCTGAAATTTTGTAAATTTCATCTTTAAAATGATACTGCTAGGAAAACTGAGTACGACGATATCCTTGGTTTCTAAATTGGACAATTATTGGAGGAAATATGACAAAATAACCTAATCTGCCAAAATACATGTGTTCAAATGGAAAATGCCGCCCGATGACGTCATGGGGCGGCACATTTCCTCACTGTTAAATCTATTTTCCTTAAATTTTCCATATCAGAAAAAAATTATGAGAAATACTGCCAGGGCCGGATTTACCTACTTGCCGCCCATGGGCCGCCTGTATTTTTCCGTCCCCTTCTCATTTGTTTTGAAACATCAGTAGATCGTATTCGACAGTGGTTCAATGTGTCGTTTGGTTCAAAACAATAGAACATAACCTCAAACAAAAATTGTAGGATTTAATTCGGAAACGCTGAAAATGATAAAATTCCTAACAATTTCACTTTTCATTGCCATTTGGTACTCGAGAGAATAAAAATTCGATCACAAAAGACCCGTTACCTCAGATTTCTAAATTGACTTTTGAGGCTGTGGTTACATATTGAACCAATCGATATCAATATAATCTCACCTGTGTGATCTGTTGAATACGATCTATAAAAACCATCAAGTGAGCGTGCCGGTGGAGGAGGGGTGTATACGACGCGTTTACTCGTATTGGGCACATTTTTTGTGAAAGCCCTGTCAACACTAACAAAAGTTCAGTTCCATAGATCTATCCCTGTTTGGACAAGGCCTTCCATTTATAAAAAACGAACGAAAAAATTATGAAAGAACAAACATAAATGCGGTTAATAATTTTAACTTCCGCCGCGGCCCGACCGTACTGTGTTGGCGCAATGCGTGAAGTATTCATGCAGTCTTGTAGGTGCTATGCGTTTCAGGCCGACTGCTGCTGACCGCAGTGTATTTGACGTAATGCGTCAAAGTATTCATGCAGTCTTGTAGGCACTATGCGTTTCATGCCGACGCGACCGCCGCACCGCTCCGTTCCAGGACTTCCAGGTCAAATTCCGTGTTTGGTATCTCTCTTAACTCGACTAATTAAAGGTGTTGTCTCTTGTATCACCGAAGTACGACAAAATTAGAAATTACAATACTTTCACTCTCAGGAAATGAGAGATTTTGTCGCCTTTTCTGGTTTGTAATTTATTTTCTAAATCCGATCTCTCTCTCTCTCTCTCTCCCACTCCCTCTCTCCCTCTCTCTCTCCCCCTTTGATACCTACATTCAAAAAGATTGCAAAATTTGCCGCTCTCTACATTTTGCCGCCATGGGCCGCGGCCCGTATGGCCACCCCCTTAATCCGGCCCTGGATACTGCGAACTCATTTCATTAAGCACTCTCAGATGAAGCAATACAATTTTTATGTGCAAATTCTTCATTTCCGTGTATAAAATTGGACTGGAAGGGCGAGAGAAAAATTTCATGCTCGAAACTTTGCTTTTTAAATTGTTTTAAGTACATACGTATTGTTTCTTTTGCACGCTTCAACATTTAGCGATCTGCACCACCAGCTCCCAGATACGTTGAACACACTTGTTTTTCCCGTTTTATATGGACTGGTTTTGTCCCGTTGAACCATTGATGCGTTTGAGAGTAATGATTAAAGCTGACCGTTTACGGAAATAGGAAACTCCTTGACAGATTATACATATATTACCGCACGCTTGCAACATTTTGTAATATCACTTTCTTTTTTTGCGGTCAGCAAAGAAAAATCACCATTTTACTACTATATTATGATGGTAATAATAATATTCCAAACGAAGTCAAAATAAGATATTTTGCAGGTATTGTCGGTTTTAGCTTTTTTTCTTTACGAATATCGATAAAATGATCACAACTAAAATTCCAAGATAACGGATTTCTTGTGATAATGTATCCGATTTGTATTTATCAGAGTGCGTTAAATTAACTACGGATGAACCAGAGTTTTCGGTATCGAAAATTCTGAGGCCAGTCAACCCGCAAAAAATGCCTTTTTCTGTTCATAAATATCAAGTTAACGGTGGAACATGGCAGCGTGAGGATAAGCAATTAGTCGATTTTGAAGGTTGGCAAGATTGACCCGCGCACCGTTCTCAACTGCACGTTCCAGGGCTTCTGGGTAATTAAGATGTGTACTGCTACATCACTGATCACCGACCCTGTAATTAAAGTTTACTCACAATCATCGTGCGTATTCTCCCATGCATTCAAGCATGCAGTCGACCTCTGCGCTAAGTAAAAGCAGTCAAAGACCTAGTCGCGAATTATTCGGAACTGTCATGTCCGCATAGAAAAAGAATGGACCACTAATACTGCCGTGCTAAGAAAAAATGGCGTATGAACCTTTAGGCGTTGCCAAATTGCCTTTGGTAAAACACAAATTTCCTGGTAAACTTATAAATATTTTCCTCCCAATTTTTCAGATAATTTTGTTCGCAATTTTGCCTGAAGCCCCTGAAAATTTCAATTAAAAATGTTCACAATTTTCCTCTGAAATAAAAATTTAATCGAAGAAAATTTGGCAACTCTCGAGTGTTCATACGGCGTTCTTCCTTAGCAAGGCAGTTTAGTCAGACTAAGAAATTAAAGACCACATTACATACTCTTTCGTTAAAACGTCAGAGCACGTTGACCCTACTGGGAAATGTCAAAATTGATCCATAAGTGATATGCTGGAAGGAACTAGAAACGTGAGGGGAACGCGAGGTGTTTTCGTTTAAACTACAAAAGAAACAATGTAAAAGTGGGCGTGTTTCTTTTTGGGAAAATCGAATAGTGGGATTTGACATTAAATTCAAAGGAAGTAAGCGCCGAAATATGCTAACTCATGAGCCATGATGATGGCAAAAGAGCGCTGCCGACAGGGCTCATGAGTTAAAGGGTCTCACCACCGATATTCTCGTCGAGCCCACGCTCATGTCGTTATCGCCGACGCCACTGACACATTATAATTCCCATACATTGTTACGGCCCTCAACTAAAAAGCGCACTCCTTCTTTCCGAACCGTCTATGGTCCCTGTTAGCAAAAATACATCCAAGTGAGAGTGAGAGGTAAAGGAGGGCACTTCATATTATAAACAGCAAATTCAAACTTCCCGCTCGTGAAAAAAAGAAACAATTAGCAACATGGTCTATTTAGGCATTGAAAGCAACCTGTACATCAGGAACATAAGGAGAAGTAGGTACCTTTAATCTTGGCAAAAAAAAAAGTTTATACTCACAAGAATATTACTCCATTGTGAAACATACATATATCATCTTTGTGCATGCGCCCGATTTTAGTTGAGTAGATTTTTGTTTGTTTATGAGCGTAAAAAGTGAAGGAACGTAGACAGAAACCACTAATTTCTAATTTATGATTTGAATTAGGAAATTCTAAATGCGTTCATCATATTCTACGTGAAAAGTCGATAAAGAATCCTATTTTCTGGTCCTTCATTATGTACCTACCCTGCCTAGTGTCATGTCCGCACCAAAAAGTTTTGGGAGTGGTCACTAGGTTTCAAGTATGTGGGGTGCTTTAGGGTCAAGGTCTGATCTGGAAGCCTATAAAAATATACAAGCTCAAATTTAAAAGAAAACAACGAAGGAAGGAAGAAATATCATCTGCGAAGCAGGCTTGTAAATTAATTAATAAAAAAGAAAAAAAAGAAATCAATTTAGTTTATTACTTACCTAGTATGGATGTGTGTATCAGTTGTTGTAAACAAACGAAGACTAAACAGAACAGGCAAGAGTGCAGAAATGCAGTTTACTTGCAAGGTTGCCGTCCACGGCAACAAAAACAATTTTTAAGTGCAATTTGTGGGTAGTTTTGAAATTTTTACACTTAATTTGACAATGCTGCTAACCCGGACATGAACTAGTTGGCAGTTACAAAACTATGCAGTTACGGATCACGGATTGTGCGAGTGGGCTGCTGTAGTTGTCCAGAGGGGGAACGAAATGTTGTTGGATTTGTTAGGAATGGTAATGAAATTTCAATGATATGACCACATTTAATTAGTGACTAAACGCACCAATTAAAGCTCAAGAAGAATGTCTAAACATTCGGATAAAGTTTTTATTGATGTTTCAGTGATGCATTTTTTCAAACAATCTGCGCTCTTATCCTACAAGCGCTTATTTCTGAGAAAATAAGGAAGTGGGGTCATAATAATTATGTGCAAATGAAGCTGAGTATACGATTTGTCAATGTTCCGTTATACAGGGTGTACCAAAAGTCCGTCCCACCCTTGCTAACTTTTGAACGAATTGAGCTAAGGTAATGAAACTTTGGGAATGTTCCTATCTCAAAGGGGACTATCTTTTTTTTTTTTTTGGGGGGGGGGGGGGGGGGAAAA